GAGGCCTCCGAAGAGGGCCCCAAGAGGCCAAAATCGTTGATTTTCATTGGTTTTTCCGATGTTTTTTGCGTTCTGGCTTTTTCGGCTTCCGGACGCTCCAAGACGACCCAAGAGGCGCCCAAGATCGCTCCAAGACGGCCCACGAAGCTCCCAAGACGGCCCCGAAACGGCCCAAGAGGGCCCCCAAGACGGCCCAAGTGCCGCCCAAGACGGACCAAGAGGCCCCAAGACGGGCCCAAGAGGGGCTCAAGAGGGATACAGAGAACTGAAAAATCGAGCCCTCCGCCCCAGAAGCCGCCCAGGAGGTCCCAAAGAGGCCCCAAGAGACCCCCAAGAGGCCCCCAAGACGCCCCAAGAGGCGCCCAAGAGGCCCAAAAGAGGCCCCAAGAGGCCCCAAAACGGCCCTCAACAGGCCCCAAAACTCGGCTAGCCCACCACGGCGCGATCATGCAATATGGACAAGCGGAGTGAGCGAAACGATTGAATCACATTTCATTTCAGACCTCCTCTGCGCCGCCTCCGAGGCCGTCCGAGTTCACCCCCCGTCTGGGCCACCCCCCTTTACGTTCACCCGAATGTCGGGCCCTGGGGCCCTCAGACATCGATCCGGGGCGAAAGAGCCGAGCCGGACGGACCACGTTGGAAGCCCGGGGCTCGATTCTGAGCCGCTCCCTGCAGCTCCGCACTGCCGACGACCTCTCATCCAGTCGAACGCGGTGCGCAATACGGGCCGGCGGAATGAGCGAAGCGATTAAATGTGTGTGAAAAGTATCGAATTACCCCCTTCCCCAACGAGGAGCACCTCAGGAGCTCGGGGTCTCAGGAGCTGAGACGGATCACGCGCCAAGAGGAGCTACGTGCTGAGACATCGGGGACCGAGGCTGCCCCACTCAGCCGCTGCCCCGGAACGGCAGAAGCCGCGCAGGAGACCGCCTCTCGCGAGATCGCCGCGCCGCTTCCCATCAAATCCAGGCGTCCCAATTTTCTCACAACGGGCATTGTCGACGCGTTTCGGGCCCAAGGACCTTGACACATCGATCTGGCTCGCAAAAGTATATGCAAAAAGATGGAATCCAGGGCTCTGGTCCTGATGCTACATGTTGTTTGCAACATTGGATCTCAGGTCCTGGGGATTCCGACAAAAATACCGATACCGCCACTCCCCGGACCTCTCCCGGTGTGCGCTCCGACCAAGATCTCGAGGCGAATCCGACGGTGGCGAATCCGACGGAAGGACCCCACATGAGAATCCTTTGGGCGAATCTGGACAAAGCCCTCACCGTCGTCCTCATGGTTGGTGAGGCGTCCTGGCTGTCTCTTCTGCGTATATTTCTTCTCGCCCTGGCGCGGGCCCTCCTCCCGCTCCCTACGGTGCCCCCGACCTCGCCCTCCTGTTTTGGCTCCGGACATTCAGAAAGTGGCCCGGGAGTAATGTTCTGGGAACACGAAGAACACGAAGTGGCCTACAGTTGGCTCCGGGCATTCAAAACGTGGCCCGGGAATGGTGTTCTGGGAGCACGAAGAACACGAAGTGGCCTACAGTTGGCTCCGGGCATTCAAAATGTGGCCTGGGAATGGCGTTCTGGCAGCGCGAGAGCCCAAAAGTGGCGACAGGTACAAGAATTTAATGACCCGGTCGGATTAATAACATGATCCGCGGGCCCCATAAGGAGGGGGCTCCCGCTTGAGACTTCCTCGCAATTCAATCACAAATGTGGCCTGGGAATGGCGTTCTGGCAGCGCGAGAGCCCAAAAGTGGCGACAATTACAAGAATTGGATGACCCGCTCAGATTAATACCATGATCCGCGGGCCCCATAGGGAGGGGGTTCCCGCTTGAGACTTCCTTGCAATTCACACACAGATGTGGCCTGGGAATGGTGTTCTGGCAGCGCGAGAACCCAAAAGTGGCGACAGGTACAAGAATTTAATGACCCGGTCGGATTAGTAACATGATCCGCGGGCCCCATAAGGAGGGGGCTCCCGCTTGAGACTTCCTCGCAATTCAATCACAAATGTGGCCTGGGAATGGCGTTCTGGCAGCGCGAGAGCCCAAAAGTGGCGACAATTACAAGAATTGGATGACCCGCTCAGATTAATACCATGATCCGCGGGCCCCATAGGGAGGGGGCTCCCGCTTGAGACTTCCTTGCAATTCACACACAGATGTGGCCTGGGAATGGTGTTCTGGCAGCGCGAGAGCCCAAAAGTAGCGACAGGTACAAGAATTTGATGACCCGCTCGGATTAGTAACATGATCCGCGGGCCCCATAAGGAGGGGGCTCCCGCTTGAGACTTCCTCGCAATTCACTCACAGACGAAGCCCAAGGCGAGTGAGTGAGTGAGTGAGTGAGTGACTGACTGACTGACTGACTGACTGACTGGTGATGATGATGATCAGCACACGCTCTCACGCGCACACTCATCATCAGCATATGTGAGTGCTGATGAGTCAGTGAGTGAGTGAGTGAGTGAGTGAGTGAGTGAGTGAGTGAGTGAGTGAGTGAGTGAGTGAGTGAGTGAGTGTGTGAGGGATGATGAGTGAGTGAGTGAGGAATGAGTGATGATGATGGTGGGTTCCTGTTCCTGCGCGGGGTGTCCAGAGAAAACAAGAATCGCACATTGGATGTGGGGAAATAACATCCTTCAAGAACAGAGACCCTCCGCCAGCCAAAACATCCAAAAACACAAAATCACGCGAGGGTGCCCTCCCCCAGAATGCACGGGAACATCCAACAAACACGAAGAACATAAGGACGCAGAGAACCTCTCAGAAGGCCGGAGGCCTTCTGAGAAGCCCCGCCGCCGTCTGAGAAGGCCTTCTCCCTATCACTACCCCCCCACTCGATCGACGCCGAATCAAACACCGAGGACGACTTCAATGGTATCCCGAACTGTTGCCGAGGCCAGCCGTTAGAGCACGACGATCTCGATGGGAAGGCCTGTAGCCCTCTGGAGCCCAACCACAATGAGCAACTGCAGTCTCGAATTCCGACGCGGTGCGTTCTTCAACGGACGATTCGCGTACAGTTGGCCTCGAGAGGCCGGCAGGGCAAGTGGGCTTGGGTTCTTTGAACCCCCCCCACTGCGCTGCATCTTTCCGCTCCGCATCCAGTCCCGCCGTCGACGATGCTCAGTCGATGCTGCACCCTTAGCAACCCCGAAAAGCCCCTACGGGCCGAAACGCGAGCATAAATATTGTCAGGGGCTGCCTGACCTTTGGAAAAAATATAGCGAAGCCTGTCGCGGCCAAAACGCTACCTCAGAGGGGCTCGCATTCGGAATGCGGAGCCGCAGAGGAAGGAAAGAACATCTCTACGAAGGAGCAATGTCCGAAGAACTGGCCGCACAAGACACACGAGCTGTGCCGAATGCTCGACGCGTACAGCCACCCAATTGGATGCATGCACACGTAGGATACGGCAGCATGGATGGCTACCGCACAAAACGACAACGAAGCAGGCCTTCCCTGTCCCGTTTAAGTTCCAGGCCGTCTGTCTTTAGAACCGCCAGCGCCTTCACCACGGCCAAACGACAGCGTCCCTGCCGAAGCGCCCTTCGGATCCGCCCGAGATTGTGAATGATCTGGGGCTGGGACAAATGACGCTGCAAGAGATCTCCCCACAATGTGGCAAAAACTCGCCTCATCTGCTGTCTCAGCTCGGCGCAGTGTGCCCGCCAAGGAAGGCGGAGCTTAATCGGCGGCGCGCTGATCAGAGGGAGTGCGTCTGGAATGTGGGGGTGAACGGGAGCGGCCCAGACGTAGGGCAGGCGCCAGAGCTGGCTGTAAGAGTTCCCCCGAGGCCTGCGCTTTGGCTGGCCGCACCTGCTAGATGTGGAATGGCCTCAACACGAGGCTGAAGGCCATCAGGAAGAAGAGGAGAAGCTGTACAATCCATGGCCATCATGGCGTGCTTGGTCGTCTGGCGCTATTCCTTCTGACGTTAACGTTGGGCCCGGCGCAAAGCACGAATTTTCTCCAGGAGCCTAACAGAAACATCGGGGCCTTCAGCTTCGCACTGTGCATCCTGAGCTCGCTCCTTGTGCAGAGTCGCTGGCGCAGAGGGCCGCACAGCCGCAGACATCACAGCGCCCGCTACCGCAACAGCGACGGCAGCAACAGAGCGCCTCGGCGCGTGTTCCGGGATCGCCGCCTGCCCAGCCGCCGCCACCAGGGAGGGGCCAACATCAGCTATGGCGCTTATCTTTGTCTAGCAAGGGGAAGCCCAGAGGAGCAGCGAAACAAGTGCGATCGCTTGGGCCTTTTGGGAGAAACGCGTAGCCACTTTCTCTTGTCGTTTGAGACTCGATCCAAAACAAGTACTGGGTTTGAGGATGACGAGCTCCAGCTCGTCGAGACCCTGCTCGCGAACATCCAGGCCCTGCGTGCAACGAGGGAGGAGGCACAATTCAACAGAGCTCTGGCCATGTGGCCATGTGCGAGGCCCAGGCGCAAATCGTCGGCATGTCCCCAGCACCTTGGAAACATCTAGAACCTGGCCGACAAAATCCCATTCAGTCGTGAGCCAACCACAAGGTGAGTGCAATCGGCGAGGAGTCGCACGACTGTGTCTCCGACCACAAACTTGATTGCTCGCTCGCCTGGTCGTCTCCTCCTCCCTCCTCCTCCTCCTCTCCAGTCCTCCAAGGTCGCTGACCCATGCGAGCAAAACATGGCTTTGCTTCGGCCGATCCGAACCAGGACGCTTCTGCGAATGGTCTGAATGTCGGTGCGCCAGTGCGCATGATTGGTATGCCTGGGGTGTGTGCGTGCCGTTTCATGTTGTTTGTGGGAATCCGCTATAAGCGTGCCGCACACCTGTTATTGTGATACTTGCGGATACCACGCATATACGCTCTGTTTACGAGTGCGTATGTTCTTGATGTCTGTTGCTGGCGCATGCCCTTTCCATCTTGGTTTCACTGATGTGGGCTCCCGACATATGTAATGATGGCATGCTACTGGCTTATGTTGTTTGTCCACACGCTTGAACACACGCTTAAAATAATTCCCTGGCGGCGGATGCGTTTGATGTGTAATATTGGTATATGTTATTGCTGCAAACACGTGTTACACGTATTGGCACAGGCTCTTGGTGTATCCAGCACCGTGCCCTGAGGCACGAGTCGGAGTGTCCTCAGGTCCCTGCGGGTTCCCTGTTTCAAATACTGAAATATCCTTTGCGCTTCTGGGCGCCCTTGGGCGCGCCTGGGGATTCCCCGCCCCGCGTGACTTTCCAGGGGCAAAAAGCGCGGTGCTCGGGACACGCACGTCCAGCATGGCCTACGATGGCCCCCAGGACCGTCCTGGAGCTCCCTAGGGCGCATCCTGGTCCGTCTTGCAGGCCCTGGAGGGCGGCCAAAACGGCCAACATCTCTATGTTCTTGGAGCCAGCACGTGTAACCTTTAGAGCGTCCAAGACGGCCCAGGAGGCGCCCAAGATCTCCCAGGAACGGCCCGAGAGCCCCGACGACGGCTCCCAATGGGGCCCAAATGGGGGAACACTAACTGACATGTTCAGCCCTCCGCCCCAAGATGACCCGAAGATCCCCCCAGGGGCCCCCGCAGTGCCCCCCCAGAGGCCCCAAGGGGCCGTCAAGAGGCCCCAAGAGGCCCAGATCGGGCCCCAAGAGGCCCCCAAGAGGCCCCCGAGAAGCCCCAAAACATCCCCAAAACTGCCTCCCATCCGAGGGGCCGCTGACCGACAACCCAGGCACGATGGCGGGATGTGCCCAAGCCCACGAGATAATATTGCTGCAAGCCCTTGACGTCGGATATTATTGTACGTTACCGGGACATGCCATTGGTGTATGAATGTGAAGTCTAGTGTTGGACGCCTGCGAGTGATGTACGTAGCTAGTGTACGTAGCTAGTGTATGACCCTGGTGTCTGGTTTTGCTGTCTGTGCTTGATGCAGTGCTGCTGGTATACGGGCGTGGCGTGCGAAATCGGTGCATGTTGCTGGTGTGCCTGAGCGTGTTATTGATGCATGTTCCTTGATGACCGTTCGTCATGTATGGTGTTGGTGACGGATCGTGATACGCGTTGTTGATGTGTGCTGAACGTGCCTGTGATCATGCATGGCAGTGGTGCATGGTGGTGTTTGCTGTGGGAAGTATAATAAGGATGCACGCCCATCCTGTATAGTGTACACAGTGTTGATGCATGGTGTTCACATGCGTGTTGGATGCATGCACGTGCGTTATTGATACGTGCTAGTAGTGCATGGTTATGATGGCTGTCACTGACAGGCGTACGTGATGTCTGTCGCTGATGCGTGCTACTGGTATGTGCTCCTAGCAACTGCTCGTAGCCCCTGGTATTGGCTCGTGCGCCGTATGCGTACGATTGGTACTCATCGTTGCATATGGTCTGAACGAATGTGCTGGCGCGTGCCCCTGATGCGCGCAATTACGTACGTCTCTGGTGTATGGCATTGATGTCTGATGTAACCGTTTGTCACTGGTGTATGTACGACAGCGCTTGTGTAATGTTGATGCCTGTTCCCGATGCCTGCTCGAGATGTGACCGAACGGCGTGACGTCATGGTACCTGGGAGGCGTGCCGCCGTTACGTCGCCACGCTGGGGCTCGTCGAGGCGGGATCCCAGGGACAACCAGACATTATGTGGGCCTGGCAGCCCAAGCATGTAGGGGTGGAAAGGCGAGCATCCTCGACGATCACCCAGGAGTGCTTGGGGCCTGGCGGCCGCAGTGCGTATGTCTGGCGTTGTCCTCATCATCCAACGATAACAGTCCCAGCCCGCCTGGTGGGGATCAGCATCCCTGTTTTTATCTTCTTTTTTTTCAAGCGCGCATCCGACTGATCCGCTGCCCCTCCAGGGAGGCTGTGGGGATCGACATCCCTCCCGACCTCCTTCTCCTCCTCTTCCTGCGCGACACGGCGCACGTGCTGCGCGCGGCCCACGCACAGAGAGCGCATTCCCACGACACTACGGCACGCTTGCGCATTTTGTCGTCGCCGTCGGCGACGATGCCTCGTGCTCCTCCTCCTCCTCCTCCTCCTCCTCCTGCTCCTCCTCCTCCTCCTCCTGCTCCTCCTCCTCCTCCTCCTCCTCCTCCTCCTCCTCCTCCTCCTCCGACGACGACGACGACGACGACGAGACGACGGCGACGGCAACGGCGACGACAACGGCGACGACAACGGCGACGACGACGCGACGACGAAGACCTCTGACTCCTCCTCCTCCTCCTCCTCCTCCTCCTCCTCCTTCTTTTCCTCCCCGTCCGCCTCCTCCCCCGACGACGACGGCGACGAAGACAACGACGGCGACGGCGAGGGCGACGGCGGCGGCGGTGGCGGCGGCGACGACGACGGCAACGACGGCAAAGACGTATGTCAGGCCGCCCACCTCGCGGGGCTCCAGTGGGCGCCGCGCGAGGCCCCCCCTGGGCTGCAGCGGCTGCGGCGCTTCTCTGGGCACGGTGCGGGGAGGGCGGGGAGCGGCGTCGGGAGCGGGGGAGGGGAGGGCGAGGGGAGCTCCCTGACAGCGCGGCGTGGAGGCGCGCAGTTGTCTCGACGGCCGAGCGTCCACGCGGGGCTGAAGAGGCCCTCGAGGCCACGATGGGAAGCAGAAGGGGCGGGGGGGGGGGGGGGGGGCGAAGAGGAGGAAACGGGGGCGGGAGGGGCGGGGAGGAGAAGGAGGAGGGGGAGGGGAAGTGGGGGGGGGAGGGGGGGGGGAGCGGAGGGGGAGGGTGGCAACGGGACGCGCGAGAGGGCAAGACGCCGAGACCCTGCAGACGCGAGCTCTCCCCCTCCAGGGAAACCCCGAGACGCACGCCCCAGCAGGACGGCAATCAACCCCGAGGACCGCCCGGGCAGCGGCCAGCCTCGAGGAGCACCCACGCAGCAGAAGCGGACAGGCCTCGAGGCGGGAGGGGCCACCCTTCGGGGCGTGCCGCCCAGCGCCGAGGCCCCAGGCAGCCAGCTCGGCACACTCGAAGGCTGCACATGGCCCCGATGCTGGAAATATCCTGGGACTCCTGGGAGGGCGGGAGGGGAGGAAATGACGAGAGGCAGGCCCAAGCACGACTGCATCGCTGAAGAATCACGCCGGGCAATTTATGGCCGTCTTTGGCCTCGGGGCCCTCGTCGGGCCCCTGGACCGTCAAACGGCTACACGGGATAAAAAAACCAGCCCTGGGGAGAGAGAGGGTCGGTACTTCCGCGGACCCCGCATTGAGGAACTCATGACTTCGCAAGTCCAGGGGGAGAAGGCGGAGGACAAGGGGGAGCATCTTCAGGGCCCTCCAGGGCCCCACTGAGGCTACGTGGGCGGGGCTGTGGCGCCTGTGCATCTGCCGATGTATATATATATATATACATAAAATATATAAGTATATGTATATATGTACACATACCTATACATATGTATACGTATGTCTATGTTTATGTATATGTATACCTATACGACAACCCTTCGGGTATAAGGAGGTTGTGTGTGGGGGGAGAGGGGGGTAACCAACATCTGACTCAATCGATCTCACTATCGATCAAACTCAACGGGACACCACGGGACACTTGTCGATCTCACGATGGATCTCACTCAACAGGACACCACGGGACACGACGGGCCACCATGGGACATCGCCGCACACCTCTCGATCTCACTATCGGTCTCACTATCGATCTCACTATCGATCTCACTCAACGGGACACAACGGGACACCACGGGACACCTCGGGACACCACATCGATCTCACTATCGATCTCATTCAACGGGACACCACGGGACACCACGGGACACCACGGGACACCTGTCGATCACACTCTCGATCTCACTAGCGATCTCACTTTCTGGAACACCACGGGACACCACGGGACACCTCGGGGCACCACATCGACCTCAGTATCGATCTCAGTATCCTTCTCAGTATCGATCTCACCATCGGTCTCACTATCGATCTCACTATTGATCTCACTCAACGGGACACAACGGGACACCACGGGACACCACGGGATACCACAAGACACCGCGGGACACCGCGAGCCACCGCCGGACGGGCGGGAGGGGGAGAATCATTTGTCTTTACTTCGCCCTAGCAACGGCGGACACCACGGGACACCACGAGACACCATGGGACACCGCGGGACACCGCGAGCCACCGCCGGACGGGCGGGAAGGGGAAAATCATTTGTCTGGACTTCGCCCTAGCAGCGGCGGGTTTATCCCTCTCGCGCGCCCACGCAGCTTCGCCTTGCCCGCACGCGCGTCACCAACGAAACGAAACGATTTCCCGGTTGGGGGTCTCCGTTCCACTCCGTCTGTGTGCATATATATATACATATATATGTATATATACATACATACATATACTTATACGACCACCCATCGGGTGATAAGGAGGTTCGGGGGGGAGGGAACCAACGTCTCACTCGATCGGTCTCACTATCGATCTCACTATCGATCTCACTGTCGGTCTCGCTCGATCGATCTCACTCGATCAATATCTCTCGATCTATTTCACGCGATCGATCTCACAATCGATCTGACTATCGATCTCACAATCGATCTCACTATCGATTTAACAATCGCTCTAACATTCGGTCTCACAATCGATCTCACTATCGGCATCACAATCGATCTCTCAATCAACGTCATCACCATCATCAAAAACATCATCGCCATCAACGTCATCAACATCATCATCATCATCATCATCATCGGGGCACCATCATCATCACCTCATCACCATCATCATCCACATCACCATCATCATCCTCATCATCACCATCATCATCATCATCGGGACACCATCATCGTCACCATCAACATCATCATCATCGGAACACCATCATCATCACCACCGGAACACCACAATCAGCATCATCATCTCACCATGAACAACATCATCAACATCATCATCTTCGGGTCACCATCATCATCAACAACATCATCATCATCAACATCATCATCACCCGGACACCACCATCATCGTCACTACCATCATCATCACCATCATCATCGGGACACCATCATCATCAACATCAGCATCATCATCACCATCCTCGGGCCACCATCATCAACATCGTCATCATCACCTCATCATCAACAGCATCATCATCAACATCACCACCATCGGGCACCATCATCGTCATCAGCATCATCATCATCGGGACACCATCATCATGACCATCATCATCAACAGCATCATCATCAACATCATCATTATCATTGGGACACCATCATCATCATCTCATCACCATCATCATCATCTCATCATCAACATCATCAGGATCATCCACCTAATCATCATCAGGACACCATCATCATCAGCAACATCATCATCATCAACATCATCGTCGCCGGGACACCATCATCATCACCACGTTCACCATCATCACCATCATCATGAACATCGCCAACATCATCATCACCGTCATCATCATCGGGACACCATCATCATCACCACCATCACAATCACAATCACCATCACCATCACCATCACCATCACCATCATCATCATCATCATCATCATCATCAACAGCATCATCGACATCATCATCATCATCACCACCACCACCACCACCACCACCATCATCATCATCATCATCATCATCATCATCATCATCATCGGGGCACCGACGAGACACCGGCGGGACACCGGCGGGACACCGCGGGCCACCGGCCCCCGGAAAAGAATCATTTGGTCCGGCCGCGCCTCAGCCGGAGGCGGGACACTGGCGGGACACCGCGGGCCACCGGCCCCCGGAAAGGAATCATTTGGTCCGGCCGCGCCTCAGCCGGAGGAGACTTTCTTCTCGCCCGCCCACGAAGCTTCGCTTCGCCCGCACGCACGGCACGCACGAACACGAAACCAATACCGAATTTCCCAGTAGGGGGACTTTCCGTTCCAGTTCGATCTCACCCCCTCACCTCCGATGTATATATGTATATGTATATGTGTATATATATATATACAAATATGTACATAAATAAATAGATAAATGAATGTATCCGCATTCGTACATATGTCGGAAGTTGGGGGGTGAGTCCGACGTGACATGATACGGTTTTGGGTTCGTGTCGTGCGTGCCATGCGTGCGTGCGGGCGAAGCGAAGCTGCGTGGGCGGGCCAAAGAAAACCTCCTGTGGCTGGGCCGCGGCGGGACCAAATGTTTCTCCTCCGGCGGCCGCGGTGTCCCCCCGGTGTCCCGCTGGTGTCCCGAAATCCTCCTGTGGCTGGGCCGCGGCCAGACCAAATGTTTCTCCTCCGGCGGCCGGTGGCCCGCGGTGTCCCGCTGGTGTCCCGTGGTGTCCGCCGCTGCTAGGGAGAAGTCAAGACTAATGATTCTCCCCCTCACGCCCGTCCAGCGGTGGCTCGCGGTGTCCCGCGGTGTCCCGTGGTGTCCCGTGGTGTCCCGTTGAATGAGATCGATAGTGAGATCGATGGTGAGATCGATAGTGAGATCGATACTGAGATCGATGTGGTGTCCCGTGGTGTCCCAAAAAGGTGAGATCGCTGGTGATATCGATAATGAGATCGACAGGCGTCCCGTGGCGTCCCGTGGTGCCCCGTTGAGTGAGATCGATAGTGAGATCGATAGTGAGGCCGATGGGGAGATCGATACTGAGATCGATGTTGTTGTGCTATTGTTCTGCCCCTGCCTCGGACTCTGACCATGCCCGCGTCCCCGTCTTTGACTCCATCTCCGCCCCCCTCTGTCTCTGTGCCTCTTCATTCTCTGCATCGGCCTCTGCCTCTGCGCCTGTCCCAACCCCGAGCACGGCCCATGGTCTCTCAAACTGCCCGTCTCTGCATGCTCTCTCTCCCTCCAAGCGCGCCTCGCCGCGGACCCAGTGCGGAGGCAGTAGGGCCACAAGAATGCGCCGCAATCAGCGCAGGCGGAAGTGCGGCAGTCGTGCGGGGGGTGCACCGGGAAAGGGGGGGTCCTAAAATTATCCGAAAAACGCCGGGGGCATTGTTTTGCGGTGTTGAAGATCGGCATGCTCTTTCCGTGCTGGGCGCCGTTGTTGTAACGTGCTCATGTCAGCGATCGGCCTGTGGCCCATCTGCTCGTTTTCTTTGTTTCAGCACATTTTCTTCTTTTAAGTGTTACAATGCCGCCTGCCTGACGTCAACATTCCAGGGTGTCGTTATCAGAACGTTCTGGTCGAATCAAGAGCGGAATGGAAAACGGAAAAGAAAGCCCCGAGCGTTTAAAGTGCGGTCTCAGTGAGAGCTGAAAGCAGGGTGAGCGGGGTATTACTGAGAAAGGCTCCGGGGCAAGGTCACCGAGGAGACGGTCGGTCATGCTGCGTCGGTGTCCAAACAAGCTTGCCCAACATGTGGCTCAGACTGTGGCGCAAACTGTGGAACAACCTTGTTGAGCAGCCTGTGGCACAAACTTGAATCTGGGCTTGCGGTGGGACCCAAATCACGAGCTCTTGTGGTTGCCTTCTTGCGTGCCAGCATGCTTTCTCACGCGCTTCCTTGACTGCGTGAAGGCTTGCTTACGAGGAGGCAAGACAAATTCAGAACGGCAGGGCAGGGAGGCAGGGCGGCTCCATTACGTGAAAGGTAAACCAAAAGCCCGTGAGGCTGGGCACAAGCTCGAAGGACACCACACTGTGGCCTGGGCGGCCTGCTATAGGTGGCGGCTGGAAGGCCACTGGAATGCGCCACGGGAAGGCCACATCGAGGCCCCACTTGTCACTACCACGCTACCTCTGGTATTGCGATGCTGTGCGAGACGCCAGCCGCGCCCAACGAAGCAATGCCACAGGTCAGCCACCCCTGTACTGTAGTGGTGGCAGCGACAAGCAGGCCCACGACCACATGCACATTGGTGCTCCTTGACCGCACCGAGAGAATGGCCGCATGTGGCCTCGAAGCGTTGTGAACAAGAGCAAAAGGTCATACCATCAGAATGCTGCGCGAGCACAGCATACGGCCGTCCTTGGTCTGCCGCCGCGCATACACAAAATGCGGGGCCAAGCAGAAGGGGGAGAATGGTGCAGGGGAAGGAGGGGAGGAGACGCTTGCCTCTACAGCACCTAGCCTCGCGCCCGTGCCTACGCGGAGACGGCCTCGACCGAGGAGGCCTGCCTCTGCCGAGTGAAGGGAAGCTTGCCCTGGATGAGGGATAGGGTCTGCGCGCATCCCCTCGGGGGCAGTGCTGCCTCCGAGTGGTCATCTTCGCCCAGCAACCCACCGACGGCAAGCCCAGTACGATCAAGGCGCTTGGCGTATAGATTCAGATACTGGGTGCCTTGCTTTGTGCGTCCATGGACAACCTTCAGCTCCACCTTCCCGAACTGCTCCCACTTCATCGATCCGTCGACCACGTCCTGCGCTCGGAAGCGGAGACCCCCGTCCTGCTTCGTCCCCTGCACCCACGCCCCCGTGATGTTCAGTTCTTGGAAATACATGTCTGCGCATCGTGCACCCATGTTCTGTGCATCGGCCTCTACCTGAAGCAGCGCGTTCTCGGCGAGCGCCCCACGAGGAATATTGATCAGAACGTGCTTACCAGGCCTCATCAGGTCGAACCGCTCACCATAGATGTTCTGCAAGTGCGGATCCCCAACCGCCGAGATCGAACTCCCCCCTCCCCCAGTCGGCGGAGCCGCGGGAACCGTCGGACTGGGCGTCGGAGGGCTGGGAGTCGGCGCGGGAGTCGGAGCGGGAGTCGGCTTCATGGTCAGGTTGAAGGCTGGGTTGCAGGGGTCCGACGCAAGATCGGTGTAGTACTGCAAGGATGCAATGACGGGGATGGTAATCCAGCTTGGATTGCCGTCTGGGTACAACCACCCGTCCTCGGCGTAGCACTCCCCAGCCTGCGAGGTCAAACCAGGAGTTCGAAACGTGGCCCCCTTGGCGGACGGGTAAGCTGTCAAGACCGCCAGTATGCAATGATGGCACGTGTCGACAGTACCAACATAAACATTAGCGCCTCCCCCTTGGGCCGCCCCTTGGATCCAACTCGCGCATGTTGCGTCCTCTGGCCATGAGCTGTAGCCGCCCGTCAGACCACACGGGACAAGCCCCGGACCAGGAGGCGGGGGAAGCGGCATCGGCGTCGGCGCGGGACCCCCGGTCGCCGACATGGTCCCAGTCGGCCCTCCGGTGCCCCACGAGGTGAACCCCGGAATCGCGGGGATCGAAGTGTCGCATACCAGGACCAGCTCGTTCCAGCCGTCATCCGGCTGACGCACGAAGGCGTTCGCGTAGTCGCAGTGGTGCCACCATGGATCGAGAAGTCCAACTGCGCATTTGGTGTAGAAGTCTTTCCTGTGGGCGTTCAAGTCAGGCAGAGCAATCGACCACTCCTGTGCAGAGGCGTAGCGCATCCCCGGGCAGATCGAGTAGTACTCGATGAATGGACGGAGTGAAGAACATCCGCCAGAGCACGGGGAGGCCCATAGGAAACAGAGGCCGGGGAGGCCGTCGACCTCGTAACAGACCTCATCCATGCTTGGGTGCGCGATAGGGGGGTCCTCTTCCTCGGCATCTTTGGTCGCCCGGCAGAGGCTCCAGCGCGAGGAAGGTGCATGCCCCGTGATGGTGATTTCCGATTCGTTGTTGTACTGCACCGAGCTGTTATGGACTGCTCCCGCGTCGGTGCTGCCCAACTGCATCTTCATAGCTGGATCCACCTGCACACTGCAATGACCCAAGCCAGAGCCGACAATGCAGTCATCCGCCACGCTGCACACAACGGCACCATGCGTGCGGATCCCGAGCAACCATGAACTGTTGCCCTTTCTCGAGGCTGGGGGCGACGCCGACGCGCCAGGGCCGCCAAGCTGCATAGCTTTTGCAATTCCCGACGTCAAGCCCACAAGAATGACCACGGTCAGGCATCCCGAAGTACAGATCATTTCAGCAGTGTGATGTGTGATGTATTGTAGGAGTGTAGGAGTAGCTGCGCGGTTAGAGACAGGGGCCTCTAACACCTTGAGCCATAGAGCCACCCCCAAGAAAACTGCTGATCCTCGATCACTCTACGATCACATCGGATACTGGAAAGGTGGTGGACTCTCGCCTCAAGAGCAATTACTACCTCCGTGTGACCATCTTCTCCTGAAAGCCCAACGTCAACAGTCCACGCATGACCAAGTTGTTTGACGTGGGAATTCACAGACTGGGTGCCATTGCTGCGTGTTTTGGCAATGACAACCAGCCTTATGTTTCCGCCGCTCATGTAATGGGCTTGGGAGCGGCGACCGCCGGTTTGCGTTGCCGGCTTCACCGCCGACGACCCTGTGATCCACCACAGTGCCGCAATCTTGTATTAGAAAAATGTTCAGTCAAGGGCCAAGGGGCCCGGAGCGCCCCGGACGGCGCTCCCAGGGATCCCCGGGCTGACTTTCCAGAGACCTCGGGAGTGTGGTTAGAAGAAGAATAAAGGGCATAAACATAAACTTGTGGCGCTCCGCGCGGATTTCTTGGATCCGCGGTGTGCCCCCCTTCCTGGCGCGCATACACAAAATGCGGGGCCAAGCAGAAGGGGGAGAATGGTGCAGGGGAAGGAGGGGAGGAGACGCTTGCCTCTACAGCACCTAGCCTCGCGCCCGTGCCTACGCGGAGACGGCCTCGACCGAGGAGGCCTGCCTCTGCCGAGTGAAGGGAAGCTTGCCCTGGATGAGGGATAGGGTCTGCGCGCATCCCCTCGGGGGCAGTGCTGCCTCCGAGTGGTCATCTTCGCCCAGCAACCCACCGACGGCAAGCCCAGTACGATCAAGGCGCTTGGCGTATAGATTCAGATACTGGGTGCCTTGCTTTGTGCGTCCATGGACAACCTTCAGCTCCACCTTCCCGAACTGCTCCCACTTCATCGATCCGTCGACCACGTCCTGCGCTCGGAAGCGGAGACCCCCGTCCTGCTTCGTCCCCTGCACCCACGCCCCCGTGATGTTCAGTTCTTGGAAATACATGTCTGCGCATCGTGCACCCATGTTCTGTGCATCGGCCTCTACCTGAAGCAGCGCGTTCTCGGCGAGCGCCCCACGAGGAATATTGATCAGAACGTGCTTACCAGGCCTCATCAGGTCGAACCGCTCACCATAGATGTTCTGCAAGTGCGGATCCCCAACCGCCGAGATCGAACTCCCCCCTCCCCCAGTCGGCGGAGCCGCGGGAACCGTCGGACTGGGCGTCGGAGGGCTGGGAGTCGGCGCGGGAGTCGGAGCGGGAGTCGGCTTCATGGTCAGGTTGAAGGCTGGGTTGCAGGGGTCCGACGCAAGATCGGTGTAGTACTGCAAGGATGCAATGACGGGGATGGTAATCCAGCTTGGATTGCCGTCTGGGTACAACCACCCGTCCTCGGCGTAGCACTCCCCAGCCTGCGAGGTCAAACCAGGAGTTCGAAACGTGGCCCCCTTGGCGGACGGGTAAGCTGTCAAGACCGCCAGTATGCAATGATGGCACGTGTCGACAGTACCAACATAAACATTAGCGCCTCCCCCTTGGGCCGCCCCTTGGATCCAACTCGCGCATGTTGCGTCCTCTGGCCATGAGCTGTAGCCGCCCGTCAGACCACACGGGACAAGCCCCGGACCAGGAGGCGGGGGAAGCGGCATCGGCGTCGGCGCGGGACCCCCGGTCGCCGACATGGTCCCAGTCGGCCCTCCGGTGCCCCACGAGGTGAACCCCGGAATCGCGGGGATCGAAGTGTCGCATACCAGGACCAGCTCGTTCCAGCCGTCATCCGGCTGACGCACGAAGGCGTTCGCGTAGTCGCAGTGGTGCCACCATGGATCGAGAAGTCCAACTGCGCATTTGGTGTAGAAGTCTTTCCTGTGGGCGTTCAAGTCAGGCAGAGCAATCGACCACTCCTGTGCAGAGGCGTAGCGCATCCCCGGGCAGATCGAGTAGTACTCGATGAATGGACGGAGTGAAGAACATCCGCCAGAGCACGGGGAGGCCCATAGGAAACAGAGGCCGGGGAGGCCGTCGACCTCGTAACAGACCTCATCCATGCTTGGGTGCGCGATAGGGGGGTCCTCTTCCTCGGCATCTTTGGTCGCCCGGCAGAGGCTCCAGCGCGAGGAAGGTGCATGCCCCGTGATGGTGATTTCCGATTCGTTGTTGTACTGCACCGAGCTGTTATGGACTGCTCCCGCGTCGGTGCTGCCCAACTGCATCTTCATAGCTGGATCCACCTGCACACTGCAATGACCCAAGCCAGAGCCGACAATGCAGTCATCCGCCACGCTGCACACAACGGCACCATGCGTGCGGATCCCGAGCAACCATGAACTGTTGCCCTTTCTCGAGGCTGGGGGCGACGCCGACGCGCCAGGGCCGCCAAGCTGTGTGATGTGTGATGTATTGTAGGAGTGTAGGAGTAGCTGCGCGGTTAGAGACAGGGGCCTCTAACACCTTGAGCCATAGAGCCACCCCCAAGAAAACTGCTGATCCTCGATCACTCTACGATCACATCGGATACTGGAAAGGTGGTGGACTCTCGCCTCAAGAGCAATTACTACCTCCGTGTGACCATCTTCTCCTGAAAGCCCAACGTCAACAGTCCACGCATGACCAAGTTGTTTGACGTGGGAATTCACAGACTGGGTGCCATTGCTGCGTGTTTTGGCAATGACAACCAGCCTTATGTTTCCGCCGCTCATGTAATGGGCTTGGGAGCGGCGACCGCCGGTTTGCGTTGCCGGCTTCACCGCCGACGACCCTGTGATCCACCACAGTGCCGCAATCTTGTATTAGAAAAATGTTCAGTCAAGGGCCAAGGGGCCCGGAGCGCCCATGAAACAGGTGCTCTTGTGCAACGGCGCTCCCAGGGATCCCCGGGCTGACTTTCCAGAGACCTCGGGAGTGTGTTTAGAAGAAGAATGCAGGGCATAAACATAAACTTGTGGCGCTCCGCGCGGATTTCTTGGATCCGCGGTGGGCCCCCCTCCCTGGCGCGCTCCGCGCGCCAGGGGTGGCGCCGGAGGCGCCGCCAGGGGGGCCCAGCGCGGATCCTGCGGAGCGCCAAAAGCTTATGTTCATGGCGTCTTTTCTTCTTCGAGTGGTGTGGAATACACACTTCCTGCATTGCCGATGATGGTCCCAGGGAGTCCAAGGGCCCGCCCTGGAGCCCTCACTGGGGGCCTCTTCGTCTGTCTTGCAGAACCATTGGAAAGTCTCACGCTGTTGCGTGGGCACGCTGTATATCCACGTCCACTGCGTATTGGACTTGTGGGACAGGGGCGCCAACAGGCCGCGGCGCAGTGGATATGGATAAACATCAGACCTCTACGGGCGAAGTTGTTTTATCCATATCCACGGCGCCTCTGGTATCCGAAGAAGGGAGCCCGAAACTCCAAGACGCAGCGAAAGTGGCCCCAACAGGGAAATCGATTTCGGTTTCGGTTCGTGTCGTGCGTGCGGGCGAGGCGAATCTGCGCGAGTTCCTGCACTGGTAAGGGCCACATGGAGCCCAAAAGGCCGCCCCCCCCCGGGCGGGCGCGTGTCCCGTGGTTGTCCCGTGGTTGTCCCGTGGTTGTCCCGCGGTTGTCCCGTGGTTACCCGTGGCTGTCCCGTGGTTGTCCCGATGGGTATCCCGGGAGGAGGAGACGCAACAACGTCGTCGATGGTGTCTTCCCCGTCGTCGCCTCCCTCTGAATGTGGAGTGGTGTTGCGGTGCTTCAGGGAGCCGGAGCGGACGGTGTCGACGTCGCCGTCGTCGTCGTCGTCGTCGTCCCCCTCATTCCATCTGCGGGAAGGGGGCCCGAGGGATCCTGGGACCCATCCCATCGGGGGGGGGCGAGGGCCCGGAGCCCGGGATCATATTCCTCTTCCTATATTTTTTATAAGCCCGGGCGGGGGGAAAACCCGTCACCCCCCCCCAAAAAAAAACCGGACTCCCGGGACCTGGGGCTTTGGGGCCCTCCGGACGGGCCTCGAAGCGGCCACTGGGCATCGCAAGGCGTTTTGCCAAGCCTTCCCAGCACACAAAGGGCGATCAGGGGGGTCATCGGAGACGTCCCAGAGACCCCCAAGACAGCACAAGAGCGCTCCAAGAGTGACCGACGTGACCTCAAGATGGCCCAAGAGGCCTCCAGGACGGCCCCAAAGAGGCCTCCAAGAGCACTTCCAAGAAGGCCCCCCCCGAGGCAAAAATCATGGATTTTCTGTGGGTTTTTGGCGAATTGGGGGGTTCTCCTTTTTTCGGCTTCCCGACGCTCCAAGACGGCGGTCTTCCGAGCGTCCGAAGCCGCCTGGGAGGCTCCCAAATCGCCCCACAACCATCCGAAAGGGCTTCCAAGCAGTCCAAGAGAGCCCCAAAACGGCACAACACGGGTCCAAGATGTCCCTCACAGAGCCTCATGGCGGCCCAAGATGGCCCAAAGACACCCTCCGAAGAATTCCAAAACGTGATTCGGTCGTTCAGGGAGACGGCGGTTGGAGGCACGGTGGCCCGAGGAAGCCCCCGGAGGCCCCCAGAATACGCCCAGGAGGCCTCCAGAAGGCCTTAAGAAAGCCCGAAACAACTTTTGTGAGGCCCCTAGAGGCTCTCCAAGGAGGAGCCTCCGCAAAAAAGAGCTGAGGAGGATGGGGAGAATGCGCAGGGTATGGCGAACATAAGGAACAATAAGCGTGGAGGGAAGATAACGAATAACATCATTGTAGCGGCGATGCCGGAAAAGGCAACCAGGAGTTATCGCAAAATTGTCGGCTTGACCTTCCTGCCATTCCGCCTGCATTCCAAACTTCAAGGACCAAGGTGCATGGCGCGAAGCGCCACTGCAGTCTTGTATATATATACATATATACATATATATAGCCATGAAGCGTCAAAGCGTTGGAGGGGAAAAGTAAAGAAGCAACATCGAAGTGCCCCACGCGTAGAGCACACACACACACAAACGTGCATCCGATGCAGTAGTGTCGGGCCTGGCGCCACGCATTTCCTACCTGCAGTGCCCTCGGAGGGGAGGGGAGGAACGAAGAGCAGGAGGGTCAGATGGAGAGGAGAAGGAGGAGAAGGAGGAGGAGGAGGACCAGAGTAGGCCCAATATGACTCAACGATGCTGCAACACACCCTTCCGACCCAGGTCCGTGCAGGCACTCCTTCTAACCACGGGAAGCAGCTCCTCGAAGGAGTCACGCCCCACGAGTATATGCCGTTCGGGCAAGAGCCACGTTTTGGAAAGGAACTGCCCAGAGGTAACGCTATAGGACCAGAAAGGTAAAACAAGTGTACTATGGTATTCCCATTTTGCCCCAAAAAAGGTCCGCCCTCCATCCGTGTGACAGACGCACCATGCTACAGTTCGGGTCGTCAATAAGACGACCTAATCGAGAGCCCAAGTTTGAATCAAATGAGCCATCCTCCAGCCGTGGAAGTGTTGCAAACATGTTGCTCTTCGGGCCGTACGTGTGAGGACGTCTCGAGCGAGAGCAGTTTGAAAAGGAACCACTCTACATCCTTGCAAACGCTACACAACTTAAGCACTGCGCTTTCTAAATGCTGAAGACGTCGCACGCGAGTCTCACACTGCCTGCTCACCCCAAAAACGGGTTGCCGTGGGAAGCTTGTGAGACGCATGTGCGCGGCACCGAGGCGACAGCACACACGTGGAAAACGACCCGCCCTGCATCATCGGAACTGCTGGGAGCTTTTTAGGCGACCGTGCGCGGCGCCAAAGCCAGAGCCAGAGCGTGGAACAGGTTCGCCCCCCCATCCGCGCAGCCGCGGGCGATCGTGCGCTTCGGCATCAGAACGCCCGAAGACGCGTGAGGCGAGACGCCGAGACCGCCCTCCCGACAAGTCTGGTGGCTCGACTTTCGGGGAGGATGGTGGAAGAGGGGCAGGAGGGGAGGGAGGGGAGGAGACGCTTGCCTCTACGGCACCTAGCCTCGCGCCCGTGCCTACGCGGAGACGGCCTCGACCGAGGAGGCCTGCCTCTGCCGAGTGAAGGGAAGCTTGCCCTGGATGAGGGATAGGGTCTGCGCGCATCCCCTCGGGGGCAGTGCTGCCTCCGAGTGGTCATCTTCGCCCAGCAACCCACCGACGGCAAGCCCAGTACGATCAAGGCGCTTGGCGTATAGATTCAGATACTGGGTGCCTTGCTTTGTGCGTCCATGGACAACCTTCAGCTCCACCTTCCCGAACTGCTCCCACTTCATTGATCCGTCGACCACGTCCTGCGCTCGGAAGCGGAGACCCCCGTCCTGCTTCGTCCCCTGCACCCACGCCCCCGTGATGTTCAGTTCTTGGAAATACATGTCTGCGCATCGTGCACCCATGTTCTGTGCATCGGCCTCTACCTGAAGCAGCGCGTTCTCGGCGAGCGCCCCACGAGGAATATTGATCAGAACGTGCTTACCAGGCCTCATCAGGTCGAACCGCTCACCATAGATGTTCTGCAAGTGCGGATCCCCAACCGCCGAGATCGAACTCCCCCCTCCCCCAGTCGGCGGAGCCGCGGGAACCGTCGGACTGGGAGTCGGAGGGCTGGGAGTCGGCGCGGGAGTCGGAGCGGGAGTCGGCTTCATGGTCAGGTTGAAGGCTGGGTTGCAGGGGTCCGACGCAAGATCGGTGTAGTACTGCAAGGATGCAATGACGGGGATGGTAATCCAGCTTGGATTGCCGTCCGGGTACAACCACCCGTCCTCGGCGTAGCACTCCCCAGCCTGCGAGGTCAAACCAGGAGTTCGAAACGTGGCCCCCTTGGCGGACGGGTAAGCTGTCAAGACCGCCAGTATGCAATGATGGCACGTGTCGACAGTACCAACATAAACATTAGCGCCTCCCCCTTGGGCCGCCCCTTGGATCCAACTCGCGCATGTTGCGTCCTCTGGCCATGAGCTGTAGCCGCCCGTCAGACCACACGGGACAAGCCCCGGACCAGGAGGCGGGGGAAGCGGCATCGGCGTCGGCGCGGGACCCCCGGTCGCCGACATGGTCCCAGTCGGCCCTCCGGTGCCCCACGAGGTGAACCCCGGAATCGCGGGGATCGAAGTGTCGCATACCAGGACCAGCTCGTTCCAGCCGTCATCCGGCTGACGCACGAAGGCGTTCGCGTAGTCGCAGTGGTGCCACCATGGATCGAGAAGTCCAACTGCGCATTTGGTGTAGAAGTCTTTCCTGTGGGCGTTCAAGTCAGGCAGAGCAATCGACCACTCCTGTGCAGAGGCGTAGCGCATCCCCGGGCAGATCGAGTAGTACTCGATGAATGGACGGAGTGAAGAACATCCGCCAGAGCACGGGGAGGCCCATAGGAAACAGAGGCCGGGGAGGCCGTCGACCTCGTAACAGACCTCATCCATGCTTGGGTGCGCGATAGGGGGGTCCTCATCCTCGGCATCTTTGGTCGCCCGGCAGAGGCTCCAGCGCGAGGAAGGTGCATGCCCCGTGATGGTGATTTCCGATTCGTTGTTGTACTGCACCGAGCTGTTATGGACTGCTCCCGCGTCGGTGCTGCCCAACTGCATCTTCATAGCTGGATCCACCTGCACACTGCAATGACCCAAGCCAGAGCCGACAATGCAGTCATCCGCCACGCTGCACACAACGGCACCATGCGTGCGGATCCCGAGCAACCATGAACTGTTGCCCTTTCTCGAGGCTGGGGGCGACGCCGACGCGCCAGGGCCGCCAAGCTGCATAGCTTTTGCAATTCCCGACGTCAAGCCCACAAGAATGACCACGGTCAGGCATCCCGAAGTACAGATCATTTCAGCAGTGTGATGTGTGATGTATTGTAGGAGTGTAGGAGTAGCTGCGCGGTTAGAGACAGGGGCCTCTAACACCTTGAGCCATAGAGCCACCCCCAAGAAAACTGCTGATCCTCGATCACTCTACGATCACATCGGATACTGGAAAGGTGGTGGACTCTCGCCTCAAGAGCAATTACTACCTCCGTGTGACCATCTTCTCCTGAAAGCCCAACGTCAACAGTCCACGCATGACCAAGTTGTTTGACGTGGGAATTCACAGACTGGGTGCCATTGCTGCGTGTTTTGGCAATGACAACCAGCCTTATGTTTCCGCCGCTCATGTAATGGGCTTGGGAGCGGCGACCGCCGGTTTGCGTTGCCGGCTTCACCGCCGACGACCCTGTGATCCACCACAGTGCCGCAATCTTGTATTAGAAAAATGTTCAGTCAAGGGCCAAGGGGCCCGGAGCGCCCCGGACGGCGCTCCCAGGGATCCCCGGGCTGACTTTCCAGAGACCTCGGGAGTGTGGTTAGAAGAAGAATAAAGGGCATAAACATAAACTTGTGGCGCTCCGCGCGGATTTCTTGGATCCGCGGTGTGCCCCCCTTCCTGGCGCGCGCCCAGGGGCTTCTAAGAGGCATCTTGCCCACGCACGGTGGCGGGATGGGCCGAAGGCCACAAGATCCGCCGCCCCCTGCTTGCAGGGGTGCACGGCGTGCTGGACGTTTCAGGTTTTGGTTTTGGTTCTTTTTCCAAAAAAAAACTCCCCAGTGGGCTCCGGCCCGTCCCGCCACCGTGCCCAAAAACGGCCGTTTCGCTCGGGACATCCTCAAAAAATCGCGAAAATGGCCCAAGATGGCCTCCAAGTCCGCCCGAGATGGTCCAAGATGGCCTCCAAAACGGCCCAAGAGAGTCCAAGACGGCCCAAGACGGCCCAAGAGGCCCCCCAGAGGCCTCCCAGACGGCCCAAGAGGCCTCCAAGAGGTCCTCCAGGAGAGTCCGAAGAGGCCAAAATCATTGATTTTCCCTTGGTTTTTGAAGGATTTTGGCATTTGCGCCTTTTCGGCTCTCCGACGGCTCAAGACGGCCCAAGAAGCCCCCAAGATCGCCCAAGAGGCCCCCAAGAGAGCCCCCTGATGGCCCAAGTGGCCTCCAAGATGGCCCCTAGAGGGCCCCAAGACGGCCCAAGAGGCCTCCAACACGCCCAAGATGGCCTCCAAGACGCCCAAGATGGCCTCCAAGACGGCCCTGGAGCGCCCCAAGAGGGTCCCCCGTTGGCCCAGAAAGGCCCCCAAAACGGCTCCCGACGGCGTCAGACGTGCCAGGAACCCAGAGAAGTCGCGTCGAGGCTGGGCCCGCGCTAACGCAGGGCACAACCGTCGACTGGCGCAGGCCCAGGCCAGGCGGTGGGGCGAGCGCGAGTCGGCGTCGCGGAGCCGAGCAACCTCGCCGCCCAAAAGGTCTTCGACGACCGCCCTCAGGACCTCTGCGGCATCGCGGGGGCCGCCCGTGCCGGGCCCCCTGTCCGCGTCGGCCCGGAACAGATCGTCCACGAATCGGCCCGAAGCGAGCGAGAACAGCTTGGCAAGGATGGCCTGCCGCGCTCGCGGGGCGCTCGCCGTGCCGCCGCGGCGCTCGCGCCTCGCGCCTGGAGCGCCGCCCCAACGCGGCCCCAAGCGCATCCGCTGCCCACGGCGCCGAAGGGGCAGCTCAAGAGTTGCAGACAGTAGCCCTCGCGGGCTCCCTTGGCCCATACCGAATGGGCCAACGGGAGGTCGGCGCCTCGCACGGGCAACGTTTTGCAAGCACCGATGAAATCTTCTTTGCTCAGCACCGGCGTGCCGGCCGCGGCCGCGATCCGCGCCAGCTCGACCAGAGCATCGAGAGAATCCACCCTACGCGCGGTCGCGGCGACACGGGAGAGCGGACAGCGCGCGCGAGGGGCGGGGGGGGGGGGGAAAGGGCCCGCCTGCACCTCTCGGCTGCGGCGGCGCAGTCATTAACGCCCGTGGCAGTGAAATCGTCGATCGCGCGTACCTGGACGCGTTGGCTCCCGGCGCGGCGCCCAGGGGAGGGGGCGGTGCATGCCGCGGCGAATGCGCCATTCCTTGCGCATCCATTCTTCCAACTTCCAGCGCCATCCCTCGTCTACAGGGAATCGCGGGTTTAACACCGCCCCGCGTGGCAGGTCGGACAACCGGCCCACGCTGCCTGGCCCGCGGCCACCTGCGCGCTCGCGGACGTCGCAGCATGGGCGACTGTCCCCGCTGGCTTGCGCGGCGCGCGCCTCTTCGTATGCTTTATCATGCAAAATCTGGGTGACTTCCGCGTCGGTCCCCAGATCCCGAGACACGCGCTCGAGGGTGGCGGCGTTCAAAGTGTCCGCTCGGCTGCGCAACTCGGATGGGCATTCGGCTCCCTTGGGGGTCACGGGCGCGTTCATGCCCGAGCGCGGCAGGACCCCCACTAGCGGGAAGCCCCGCTCCAAGTCACGCGTCAAATTCTCGTCGGACGCCTCAAGCACGGAGCCGCGCCCCGCTGTCGCGCGCGCGCGCTGCGTCGCTGGTCACCCCTGCAGCTTGCATCATTTCGGCCAAAAGCAACAAGTTCTTGTCAGGCCCAAGGACGGAGCGCACATGCCATGGTAACTTCGCATAGCGTGCCTCGCCCGACCGCGCTCTCCGCCGGTGCTTCGCGGTAGCGGCGTGCCGGGCGGCGCCTTCCATTCTGAAGCCGTCACGCGTTTGCGCTCTCGCCAAAATTGCAACGCCGCCTCGCGCCTCTCTTGCAAGAGTGCGTCGCTCGTCTGGCTCGCCGCCACCGCCGCATCGCGCTCAGGTCCCGCAAGCGGCGCTATCTCGCGGACTCGCGGCAAGTGTGCCGCCCAGGCGGCGTGGCAAAGAGGGCTCATGCCCGCCCTCTTGTCTTCGTCGTCGAGCAACGCATCCACGGCGGCTTTGATCTGCGCGCGCGCTTCGCGGCTCCGCCCCCGTAGAGTGGCGGGCAAGGGCCTCTTCAAATGCGCAGCCGGCATCGTGGATTTGCTGGGGGCAAAGGTCGCCGCCCCCGCCTTCGGCGCCGTCGTCGGAATCAACAACCGCGTCCTGCGCTGCGCTCGCCGCGGGCGGGGCGGTCTCGCGCGCGGCGCGCCGGCGGCGCCTCCTGCCCCTCGGGCGACGGCCCGCGCCACACTGCGCCCTCACCGCTGTCGGCAGGGTGCAATGGGGAGGCCCCGTCGTCTGCGTCACTGGCTGGTGCGGCGTCCCCGCGGGGGGGCGCGCGCGCGCGCGCGCGGAGCGCGCCTCGGGCGGGCGAATAATTAGCATGCACAGCGCCGGCGCCCTGGCTTCACCACCGCCAGGACTCCTTTCGCTCAGGCTTGTGCCACGAGCTCCCCGCGTCCTTGGGAGCCCCTCCCTTGCCGGCCTTTCCGCTCCCCTTCTTGCTGAAGGTATCGCGGCGGGGGCTGCGCGAGCGCTGGCGGAGGACAGGGCTCACCGGGGTCCGTGGCTTCGCCGCCTCGCGCGCCGCGACGCGTGCTCGCGCTCGCGGGGCGCGCGCGCGCGGGCTCGCGCCTGGTCGCGCCGGTCGTTGCCGCCTTTCTTGCCCCCGCCCTTGGCGAACGCCGCCTGGCGGTCCGACTGCTGGACTCTCTCCTACAGCGCGCAGCGCGATGCACGATGCCAGGGCGGCGGCCACTCAAAAGCGCTGCGCTCCTTGGCGGCGCGCAGAATGTCCCACGACAACGCAGTGAACGAGGCCGTCGCATCCTCGTCGCCGTGTTCCAGGTCTTTCGCCACTTTCTGGCGGAGAAGCAAATCGTACGTGTAGGAAACCTGGACGCGGCGCGGGCTCCCGCGCGCGGCTCCCTGGGCATCGGGCCCGCCGCTCCGCGGACGCGCCTTGACGCCCCCGTGCTCCTCGCTCACGCGCGCGAGCTGGTACATGTATCCCAATAGCACGACGGGATCAAACACTTTGGACAGGATGCAGCGAAGCCCCCACTCCATTACGTGGGCCTCGCGCCACGGGGCGCGCGTGGGCGCGCGCGCTGCGCTGCGTCGCGCGCGACCTGGAAGTGCGCATAACCGAGAAAATCCATTCGGTCCAGGGCCGCACCCGCGCGGTTCGCCGCGGTGACGGCCGACGCGCGATCGCGCCACGAGCCCGCCCCCGCTGGTACCGAGTCCAGCTTCGGCATTCGCGCCCATTGGGGCTTGCAGTGGTCCTGCGCGCGGAGCAATCGGCGAAACGGAAGCTTGTCATTGCACGTGCCGCCGAGCAGGGAGCCTGCAGGCTCTCGCCCTCGGCGCTCCCAATGTATGAGCGGCCATGGGACTGGGCCGTCCGGCCCGCGGCCGCGAATTTGCGCATCGACTCCTCGGTCGGCAATCCCTCACGGGGGAACTTGCCGAGCCAGACCTCGCGCACACGGTCCTGCCGAGGCGCGCATCCCCGAACAATGCCGCCCGCGCATGCGAAAACGCGGCGCGCCTCCATGGCAAACGCCAGCGGCTTCTCCCGCTTTTCTTCGAGCAATTCCTTGCTGGCCTTCACGTATTCTTCCATTGCCGCCGCAATCCGCGTCGTCTCCTCCGCGGGCTTGGCGGCCGCCTCCGCCGGGGCCGATTGCTGACCCTCCTGGCGGCGCGCCGTGCGGCGGCCCGCGTCCTCGCGCACCAACGGGGCGGGGGCCTTCCGCCCGAAGGCTTCCATCGCTCGCGACTGTGTCCGCAGCGCCATATTGATGTGGCACGGCTTAATCGCGAAATCGCGCCACTCCGCGGAAGAATCGCCCGCAAACGGCTTCGCGCCTGGCTTCAGGGCCGCAATCAACATATCGCGCATGGCCGCATCCGAGTAATCAATCGGGCGGGCCGCCCCGATCGCTTCGGCCATCAGGCGCGCGACCGTGGTGCACAGCGCCAGCTCGGGAGCTGGCGATGCGCCCCCCTCCGCCGCGTTGGCCGCTGCGACGAAGAGGACCCAATCGGCCTTGCGCGCCGCTGCGAGTGGGCTCATGCCCGCGGTAGACGCACGGAGACGCGCGCGCGCGCCCTGATGGCATTTTTGTCGGTGCCGAATGCGCCAGCAGGCAGATCGCCAAGCAACTCAACGATGTCTGAGCGAGCCAGCGCCATGGATGCTGCGCGCGCGTCGGAAAGCGCCGTGCACGTATCCCCCTCGGCGCCCTTATCGCGCGCTGGCGGTTGCACATGACATAACCCGCAGGCATCCAGCGCAAGAGGGCAGGCAAACGCACGTCGCAGGCATACTGCGCACCGGGGCTGACAGGCAGCAACCGCAGGCATACTGCGCACTGGGCCGGCATACGGCAACCGCAGGCGTACTGCGTACAAGGGCCGGCATACGGCACACACTTGCAGGCATACTGCAACGCACGCAGGCATACTGCGCTATGGGGGGGGCCGGCATACGGCACTCGCAGGCATACTGCGCTTAATGGCCGGCATACGGCGCCCACTTGCAGGCATGCCGCCGCGCGCGCAGGCATACTGCGGAGAGGGGCTGACAGGCAGCAATCGCAGGCATACTGCGTCCAGGGCCGGCATTCGGCATTCGCAGGCATACTGCGCACAATGGCCGGCATACGACACACACTGCAGGCATACTGCACAGAGGAATGATTGCCGGCGTACGGCATCCGCAGGCATACTGCGCACAAGGGACCAGCATACGGCGCGCACTTGCAGTACAGCGCAGGGGACAAGTGGCCGGCATACGGCATCCGCAGGCATACTGCGCACTGGGTCGGCATTCGGCCCAGGATGACCCGTACTCATGTGTGTCCTGACCTTCGAGCCGCAAAACCGACGAGGGACGTAGGTGCTCTCCACGAAGTAGACGCGCGGACCTGTGGGGGAGGAGGGGAGGGGAGGAACCTGCAACGGGAGAGAGAGGCGGCGGAGCGGCCAAGCGAACGCGCGCGCGGGAGGAGGGGCGAGGGGAGGAACCTGCGACGGGAGAGAGAGGCGGCGGAGCGGCCAAGCGAACGCGCGCGCGGGAGGAGGGGGGGGGGGGAACCTGCGACGGGAGAGAGAGGCGGCGGAGCGGTCAAGCGACGCGCGCGCGGGAGGAGGGGGGGGGGGGGAACCTGCGACGGGAGAAAGAGGCGGCGGAGCGGCCAAGCGAACGCGCGCGAAAAACGCATCCCGCCAGCGGGACGGCCACGCGTGAGACAAATCCCATTCACCTGCGACGAGAACGCGCTCGCGGGCGCGCAGGGTGGGGATCCGCCTCAGCCGTGAATAGCCGTCCCGCAGCATTAGAGACAAGCAAGAAGATAGCCAATAGGGGCCACGACGCTCGCGCGACTTCTCCCCGCGCTCAAATGCTGCCCAGAGCGCCCATCCAAGATGGCCGAAGTTCGCTCGAAGCTGGCCCAAAAGGGCCCAAGAGGCCCCCAAGAGGGCCTCCAGGAAGGCCAAAAGATGCCAAAATCACTGATTTTCCCAAGGTTTTTGATGGATTTGGGCATTTCCCTTTTTTCGGCCTTCCGACGGCCCGACACGGCCCAAGAGCCCCCAAAGATCGCCGAAAGATCGCCCAAGAGGCCTCCAAGACGGCGACGATGACCATCAAGACGCTCACGTGTTCCCCGAAGGCTTTCCAAACCGATTCGGGGAACACATGGTCCGATGGCTTGGCAGGTCTGGCCTCAACGTTCGGCCACATAGGCGCTTCCACAAAGGCAGGGGGCGGCGGTGATTCGCCGTAGGCGTCTTCGATCTGCCGCCCCCTGCTGGATTGTCATTGAGGTGCCGGGCGTGCTAGACCCGACTGGTGTTGTATAGATTCTTTTTCTAAGAGAACTCTCGCCTGGGCCTCCGGTCCGTGCCACCAGCCTCCCAGAAAAGGTGGTTGCTGTACCTCCCCAGCGGCCGTTTCGCTAGGGACATCCTCAAAACATCGCGATCTGGGGGTCCTCAAGACATCGCGATCTTGGGGCGTGCGGACAGCTGGGCGGTCACTGGTGGGGGTGGGGGGGGGGACGGGCGCGGGAAAATCCAAGCAAGCTCTGGATCGATTGGGGGGGATGATACTGACATGGGGAACAGTGGGCGGGCATGGGGGAGGCTGGATGGCCATGGGGAGGGTTGGGCGACAGTCTGAAGGGGCTCGGGGTCCGCCGACCAAAGGCGAACATCTCCCCGCGGGCTTAGACTCTGAGCCTGCGGCTCGACCCTCTGCGCCGCCGGCTCGAAACTGCCCGCCCTGGCCAGGAAAGCATGTGCGCCGACACTGGGCCTGGGCTCCTGCTCGGCCAAGCGTGTCCGCGGTTCCGTCGGCCCGGTCGCGTCTGGGCGTTGCGTCAAGGGGGGAGGGGGAGGAGGAGGAGGAGGAGGAGGAGGAGGAGGAGGAGGAGTTACGGAGTTACGGATATTGCGACTGTGTAGGTTACTGATTAGCTTAAAGGTGACGAGCCGCTCTTCTGGCCTGATCAGCTTTGCTGTAAGCTTTCGGCCAGATCCCCCGTTCAATATTCTTGAAATAATCTCTACGGTTACCTTCTGGTCTGCCAACACACCTCTTCCCGAGCTGGGCCAGTTGCTGGGCCGCAAAGCCTCCACAGGTGCTACAGAACCAGATCCCCAGCCCAACGTGAAACTGTAAACTGTGAGTCTCATCAGCCCACCCGGTCCACCCCCCACAGATGTGCACCCTGCAACGGGGGGGCGGCCTGGACACAACACCATCGATAGCCCTCAGATCGAAGCATGGGGTATCCAACCAAATCTTTCGCCTAGCTTTGGTCGTCGTGCTCCTACACTTCAAACAAGGCAGCCCATTTTCGGACAGCGTATGTAAAGTGGAAACCTCTTTGCACAGAACAGGCGCAGGTGGAGGAGGAGGAGGAGGAGAAGGAGGACTCCGTCCGGCTGGACTCTGGCAGGACTCCGGGACCCGTCCGTCTGCGGCTGCGGGCTTCTGAGGCCCGCCCGGATAACCGGCTAAGACTGGGGGGGCTCCGGGGCACCCCCCGCTGAGGCCGGGGGGCTCCGGGGCCCGTCCAGCCAAGGCCAGGGGGGTCCGGGGCACGTCGGGGGCTCGGGGGCCCTGGGGCCAGTCTGGCTAAGGCCATGAGGGCTCGCCCGCCTGGTTCAGGCCCAGGGCTTTGTTGGGGCCCGTCTGGCGAAGTCCGCTATCTTCTTCCCCCTGTCCGTGTGGGTCCCTCCATGTCTTCCCCAACTTCCTCGTGCCTTCCCCGCGCCTTGTCCCAGCTCCCTCATGTCCGTCCCAACTTCCACATGTTATTCCCAACTTCCCAATGGCCTTCCAAGCTTCCTCACGTCAGCCGCATTTCCCCCATGTCAAGTACTCCTTCCCTAAGTCCACACAACTGCTCCCATGCGTCATCCTGTTTCCCCAAGGTCACTAAACTTCTTCCGCATACTCACCACTTGACTGATGCCAGCGCAATTTGCTACGCCCACACGCGCAGGGTAGCATCTTCGCCATCGCAAGCCCGCCTCACCCATGACCTTCCACACCTAGTTTACGAGTTTGCCCCAACATCGCTTAATGGCCCGTGGATCTTGTCAACGTCGAACTCAAACAGTCTCAGCATGCCAACCGTGTTACACTTTACTCGGAGGCATCACTATTGGGATCGCGCCAGGTTCGTGTTGTCAAGCTCCCCAATCTCGGTTTCGCACACGACTGGCTCAGTCAAGCTCGCGGTAACGCCTTAGATGGAGCTGCTGCGCATGCGCGAACGCGCTGCTGAAAAATCGCCTCGGGTCGCGAAGGGCCCGAGGAGGATAAGGAGAGGGGGGAGGAGGAGAGAGGAGGGAGGGAGGGGGACAGGGAGGCAGGGAGGGGTAAGCGAGCAAGGAACAGGAGGGAAGGGAGGAGGCGGAAGGGAGAGGCAGGGAGGAGGAACGAGAAAGAGAAGGCAGGAGGAGAGAAGGAATAGGGATCCGCTTACACCCCGCCCCCTCAGGGATCAGTTGAACAGGTAGCTGGAGAAGAGCACGGACAGGATGCAGATGGTCAGCAGGCCCCAGTACAGGGACGTGCGGTTGAGGTCGACGGGGAGCATCTCCTCGTTGGGCTTCGGCTCGGGCAGCGCCTGCAGGATGACAGCAGGCACAGCCTTCTCTGAGAGGGCAAAGAACCACGCGAGCATAAACGTCAGACCCCCGGGGTTGCGGGGACTGGCTCTGGCGCTGGCGGAGTTCAGGGCCCCGTAAACGGAGACATTGACAAACAAGAGCTTCGCCGTGCCCAGAAATCAGATGAGAAACATGGGCCACCGCTACCGGGAAGCCATCGAAAGGGGGTGGATCGACCCCTCACGATGGGCTCTAGGTGGCGGTGGTCCATGCTTTTCCTCTGAATGAAGTCGGACCTAGGCCAGATGAACATCCATCAAGGACATGAGACCATCCGTCGACCAAAACAAACAAAACATCCAAGGGTACCGTCCTGAGGGTGCACAGGAACATCGAACAAACTCGAAGAACACGACGGCATCCTCCCCGAACCGATCTCGATCATATACTTCGGTCTGGCCGTAATAAGGCTGCAGCCGTCTCTCCAATACGATCGTTGTTCTCCTGCTGGATCTGGCAAAGACCTTTCTCGTTCCCAGAAATGATCAACCCCCCATGGTGAAAACTCCAAGCTTCCCAATCGATGGGAAGGGGGCCCTGCAATCCCAGACCCCGACGTCCTGATTGTTCATGATGTGGACCGCCGGAAATCTGGACCCCTTCCCCAGGACGGCCTTGTCATCCTGAGTGACGGTACCAGGGCCCAGCGAGGGCCCCCAGAGGCAGACAATTGCCCCGTCGTGACTTTTTCATGACCCGAGGAGGGCGGGGATGCCAGAGCACGCCGCAGAGAAGAAGCAAAGAGTGAGACTGGCAGCCCGGACAGGCCTGGCGGAAAGCCATGGCTATCGCTATCGCTATCGCTATCGGCTCGATGTCCTGTCGGACGCAGCCGTCCGCGCGGCCCGAGCTACGCGCGCGCGCCCGAAGCGCATAGGGGGGACCACCCCCCGACACAGACCCCCGCCAGGAGAACAAAGGGAAAGCCGCCTAGGCTTCGAAAGGGGAGGGGCGGGGGCCGAAAAGGACCGAGAAAACGGGCCCAGGAGTTTCGGGGACGAGCGGCCAGAGGAAGGAAGAAAGAGGATGACTTGATGGAGGATAAGGGAGAGGCCGCATGGGGGTGGCAAGATGGAGCGGGAAGAGGGGGCTCATTAAAGGCCTGAGGAGGAAGGGAAACCACCCCCATGACGGCCTGCACGCAGGCGGCGGCCCAGGTCGGTCAGGCCTGAACCGTGTCCTCCCCCCCCTCGCCCTCGAGGGGGCGTCCAGGATGGGGCTGGCGGCCACCTTGAGCGCTACGGCCGTCTTGCCGTGGTGGGCGCCTGTCTCGACCATCATGGGCCATGTTACGGCCAGATCGGGTCGTCGGATCAGCAGGCTGCTGTCCGACCTCAAGCTGGGGCAGACTGCCCAAAATGGAGGTGACGAAATCGTCGAGGGGATTGCCGTATTCCTGGGAGAGGCCGCAGTAGATGGCGTAGAGGCTGCTGGTGGCGTCTACCATGGTCGGTCGTCTCGTAGCAAGATTCTCCGTAGCGTAGAACATCAGCTCAGTATTCCACATCACTGACGGACCTGCTGGGGCTGCGGATTGCGCTAGTAGTGCTGGTACTTCGGCAACGTGAGCAGCATGGAAGGTGTGGATGGCGAGGCGGGCATGGTGGTTCGCGATCAGTCGACGTTCGGCTGCCTCACCTCCAAGGTTTACTCTGCCCCAAGGGTCCGTGGTCGTTCTGGAAGATGCTGCCGTTCTGTCGTGCGGGTCGCCATCGACTTGGTCGATCCAAGTGCTGGGTGAGAGGTTGATCATCACTCCCGCGAAGTCGCCTTGTCGAATGTGCTGGTGGATCGAGTCGAGGGCGTCGTACTGGGATGGGTGATCGACAGAGTAGAGATCATCGAAGGTCAGAGTAACCCGTTCCATCACCATTCCATTGTAGCATAGTCGTTGGTCCGTAATGTCGAGCAGATCGTTCGGGTGTCTATCGGTGTTGGTGAGGTAAAGCAGAGATCTGTTTCTGGTCGGTGTCCGAGGGTAGTAGGCTGGTGGTGGTGGTGTAAGCGCTGGTACAGTCGGGAAGAATGGCGGTGGTGAAGGTGATAGGTCAAGGGAGGGTAAGGGAGTGACGTCGGATGCATGGGCAGGGATAGGGTGGTATAGTTCGGGGCGGCCTCTGCGTTTGTTGTCGGCTATGCTGGCCGCGTAGATCGCCTGATTGGTGGCCACGTCCTCCTCCGTGAGGGCAGGTCCTTGTAAATACCACAGGTGCCATGACCGTCGGCAGCGGGCGACCGTAGTTAGATGCTTCACTAGCTTGGCGAAGGAGTGGAAGTTCTGGCGGCATATTCTGCACGATGTACCCGATGCCCAGTTTCGCGGATGATCAGGTCGTCGGTGTGCACGTCCGATATGTATTGCCATGCCCTGCTTGGTCTTGGTGACGATTCCACACTCGTAGCAGATGAAGTTGCTGGCGCCGTTGTCGCGTGATGGCGTGGGGCCCGCACCAATGGGACCGTCGGGTCTAAGTACCTTGGTCAACTTGTCGGCGTGGGCGTGGTCTTTGGAGGCGCGGATGTAGTTTGTGACGGCCAGGTTGACGGAGTTGGTGAAGTGCTTCGGCGTGGTGCGAGCCCATGCAAAAACGTCGGAGTCGAGCTTGCTGGTCGTGGGCCAGCGCTGGTCGTCCAGGTATGTGCGCAGGAAGTCGAAGTCCTGGAAAAGCATGTATGTCCATGAGCCCTTTCTCCGTCGCTGGTTGTCAAGCAGTTGGAGGAGCTGCTGAGGAGCGTGTCGTAGAAGCCGTGGTAAGTATCGCAGCCGTCCAGCAGACTGGTGGTGGTCGAAGTCGGGGATGCCAGTGTAAGCTACTACTTCGGTGGCCGTGAAATGATGAAGCTGCGAGTTAGCTTTGGGTAATCCAGCTGCCGTGCGATAGGGCTTCGAGTAGGCATTGGAGATGCGCTGGTGGTCAGTCTGGGTCAGTGCTGGCCAGACGTGATGGTTGAAGGTCAATGAGGCAGTCGAGAGGGCGTGCACGTACTTGATCTTTGTTTTGCGGGGTAGGCGTCGACGTCGTAGGATTTGCCTCTCAAGAGCTCGTGCCGAAGCGTCGGTTCGTCGCATGCGGTTCTGCACCTCGGGGCCCATGCTGCCGTTGGTGAGGATGGTGCCTAAGAGTCGGTGCTGGTCTGTGATCTGGACCGAGATCGACATGATGCTCAGCTGGATTGATGTAATGTTCTGCTGTGCAAGCCTACTGCGTGCGACGTTGGAGCCCGTCCCGTTAAAGGAGATGATGACCTTGGTCTTGTCTGGGTGTGGCTTGAGCCCGTAGGTAAAGGCTGTACGGCATAGACGTTCGGCTGAAGTTCTTGTAATGTCAATGATGTCGGAGTGGCGGGTGGTCGAGTTGAAGTCGGTGAGGTCGTCGACGAAGGACATGTTGGTCAGCTTGCCGCCGTGATGAGGAGCCGTAGAGAAGAGCGGGTTGTCGCAGGGGCGGATGTGGTGGCCGCTCTCGCCGTCTTCTGCCCCATCGGTGTCGTCGGCGATGGCCTGAAGCACTAGGGAGAAATGCACGTTGAAAGCCGCGTCGGAGTATGGCACCCCTGGCCTGGTACTGGTGCGAGGGATCACGTATGCGTCGGTGCCCTTAGCGGTCATCCAGTTGGCCGTGTGGTGGTCGGCAACGAGGGCGCAGAGGTGAGAGTCGTCGACGTGGGCGTTGAGATGTGCTGGACAGCGAAGACGTTGTCGTAGGGAGGGGAGGAGGCAGATGGGAATCTCGATGTTGTCGATGACGTCTTCGAGCTCGTCCTCCTGAGTCGGCAGCTGAAAAATAAACTCCCTGATTACCGAATGGAAGGCTTCTTTCAAGTCCAGGAAGAGGATGCTGCCCGTGCGAGCCTGCGTACGGCAGTCGTCCAAGAAGGTGTAGGCGGTGTGAGTGATGAAGTCAGTCGCCTTGTGAGGGACGGCGCCGCATTGTGTGTCCATCAGCAGGTCGGGTAAGATGTCGCGGAAGAGGCCTCTCAGGAACTTGCTGTTGATCTTGCCAATAGTGTTGTTCAGGAGGATGCCCCTGTAGGCCTTCTGCAGATGAAGCTGTCCTTGTCCTTTGGAGAAATGGGTGGAGAAACCGCCCTTCGCCGAAATGGGCTCCGTCGTCATCAGTTGCATCTTCATCATGATGGGGTGCAGAAGTCGGGCAATCTGGCGCGGCGCTGCTCGTGCCATGTCGTCGGTGTTCCCGTCGGGCCCGCCGCGTTTGCCTTTCTTGGCGGCTGCCAGGGCGGATGTCAGGTTGTGGATGGTCTGGACGTTGTCGATGTGGGGGGTCGGCTTTGTGTGCGCAGTCTTGTTGTTGTAGTACGTGACGACGCCTTCGATGTCGGTGTTGATGCCGTTCTCGATGTTGCCGTGAGATCGAAGGGCGTGCTCCGCAATGGCTTGTGGTGTCGTGAGTGGAGCGCCGTCATCGTCTTGGCGTATTTTGGGAGTCGGAGTTCTCTTAGGTGTGCGGCCGCCGTATGTGAGTAAGGCCCTCACGTTTGCCCATTCCTGCCGCGGGGCGTTCCCTGCGGCTGATAATATCATGTTGTCGGAGAAGCGCTCGAGGTGGGCGTCGCGGTCGTGGTCGAGGCGGTTTCTGAGAACGCGGTCGGTATCTTGGATGAAGCTCATGTATGAGTCGAAAAGATCAGTAGTGAAGGTGGTTGTGCAGTAGGTGCTGTCGTGGTATGGAGCCGTGGTATTGTCGGGGTCCGCGTGGTTGATGAAGAGGATGGTCTTGATCATCAGCTGAGTATATCCGGGGGTGTCCATGAGGTGGATGACGTCGTCAGGGGACGCTGAAGCCGACTGGTTTGCGATGAGGTGCGCGGTGTATCGGATCCGTCTGCGTGATTTCTTGGAGCCAATGCCATTCCTTTTCACGATGCGGATCGTCTTGAGGAGGGTGCGTCGGAATCGAAGAAGCGCATAGGAGGCCTCGGTAATGTAGGGCTTGCGGGGAGCATGATGCTGCTTCTTGAA